ACTCTAGCCTGGTCTCGAATTGCTCCCAAAGGTTCTTCCAGAAATTGCTGGTGAACTTCGTATCGTGGTCGCTGATGATTGCGGCTGGTATCCCGTGTAGTCGAACGACGACTGTGATGAACAGACGACCGGTTTCTTCGGCTGAGATCGATTTCCTGCACGCAGCGAAGTGAGCCATTTTCGTCAGTCTGTCAACGACGACCATTACAGCGTCGTTACCCCCAGGGTTTGAAGGTAACCTTGTGACGAAATCCATGGTAACCTGCTGCCAGGCGCGCTCGGGCGGTGGAATCGGCTGCAATCGACCCGCCTTTCTTTTTCGCAAGCTCTTGATCACCTGACACGTAGGACACGAGCCCACGTGGTGCTGTACGTCGGTCAACACCTCCGGCCAGTAGTAGTACCGCTGTAGTTGCTGTCGCGTTTTTTCTACCCCGAAGTGGCTCCTGCAGTAACACTTCCCTTAGTAGTGAGTACGCGGGTACCCAAATGCGGTTGGTGCCTGTCTTTACGTAATAGACTCCTTTAGGATCTGCCAGTTGCTGTGAATTTCCGGTCGTGAAAAATGGGCCGGTATGGTATCCGTGGGTGAATAGGCCGGTTAACAGTGGGTTGATTTGGTCGAGTAGGATGGCGTGGAGTTGGGCGGTGGGAAGTGTGAGCGCGTCGGCGATGTTTGATGCGCCTTTCTTGTACGTGACTGTGTAGTGGAAGTTGGACTCTAGATAGTCCAACCAGCGGATCTGTCTCGGGTTAAGATTCGGTTGGGCGCGGAGGTACTGTAGTGATCGGTGGTCTGTTCCTACTATCACGTCGACGCCAGTCATGTAGCATCGCCAAACTTTGAACGCGTACACGTTCACCAGCATTTCGCGGTCGTGTATCGGGTAGTTGCGTTTGGGTGGGTGCAGCATGCGGGACTCGTACGCGATTGGCCGGAGGCCGTTCCTGAAGTCCTGCAATAGTATAGGTCCCACGGCGATGTCACTTGCGTCGGTGACGAGCTCGAACGGACGGTGCGGATCTGCGATGTGAAGTACGGGCAGTGAGCACAAAATTTGTTTGAGGGCCGAGAAGGCAGCTTGCTCTTTCTCCCCTCACGTATACCCAATCCCCTTCCTCAGCAGGTCGGTCAACAGGGCTGTCAACTTTGCCATGTCGGGGACGAACCGGCGCACGTAGTTGACAAACCCCAAAAAACTCTGCAACTCGGTCAAGTTTGTCGGCGCGTGCCATGCTTGAATCTTCTTCGGGTCTATTTCCACTCCCTCAGCTGAAATTATATGTCCCAAAAACTCCAGTCTGTCCTGTAAAAATTCACACATCCACGCTTTTGTCTGAAGGCGGTTCTCACTCAGTATTTTAAAAACTGCTTCGATGTTCTGTAGATGGTGTGCTCTGTTGGGGCTGTGGATCAGTATGTCGTCAAGGTACACGATGACGCACTTATCTAAAAGCGGGCGGAAGGCTTCGTTCATGGTCATTTGAAAAGTGGCGGGGGCGTTGGTCATTCCGAAGGGCATGACGGTGTATTCGAAAGATCCGTAGCGTGTTCGGAAGGCGGTTTTCGGGCAGCCGGGTGGGTTGACTCGGATCTGGTGGTGCGCAGTTGGTTGATCAGTTTGTCGGCTCGTGGGATGGGGTAACGAGACTTGATGGTAACCCTGTTCAGTGTGCGGTAGTCGATGCACATGCGAAAACCCCCGTCCTTCTTCGGTGTTAACAGTATCGGTGCTGCGAAGGGTGACGAACTCGGGCGAATGAACTCCTTCTCGAGGAGGTAATCCAGCTGCTTCCTCAGTTCGTCCAGTTCGGGTTGGGTCAGTCGAAACTGTCGCTGTACTGTCGGCTGTGCCCCCGGTTCTAACTCTATCCTGTGGTCGTGCAGTCGCTAAGGTGGCAGTCCTGTCGGCAGGTCGTCCGGGAAAATCCCACTGTACTGCTTCACGAGCGCTGCCAAGTCATCCGGTACGTCGGCTAGCAGTTTCTGCAAATCCCCCCCCTTTGTCTGTTGCCTCGGCTTCCTGAATGTCGACCTCGTACACGTCAGCTCCTGTCGCTACGGCGCGTTCCGTCGTGATTGCGTTGACACGCACCGACGAAGACTCAGGCGAGCCCCAGCGAGGTAAGGCGATGTTGTTACCATTCACTCGCATAGTGCATTCACCCGTGGTCCAGTCGATTCGCGGATTGTGTCGTCACAGCCAATCACGACCGAGTAAAATGTCGGTTCCGTCGAGGGTTGTCGCGAGCATTTCCTGGCTAAACGTGAAGTTACCCCGCAGCGAATCGGAACCCGGTCTACGCGTTCCCGTATCGCTAGTGGCGTGCCGTCAACCAGTCTTGCTTCGATCTCAGGTAAACATCTGTCCAGTGGCAGTCTCAGTTTCCGTGCTGTGGCGGTGTTGATCATGCTGTGGCTGGCTCCCCCGTCTACGAATATTTTAACTAAGTCTGTCCCAATTTTCCCACTAAGCAGTATAGGGTTGTCCACCGTAGTACCCTCCTTATTCGGCCGGGTGAGGTCGATTGCGTGAACCGGCACAATCACTCGGTGAGGGTCGGTTGGGTCGGGCGAGCGGCGTGACTTGTCAGAAGAGGGCCCGTCTGCTACTGACTCCCAACGTTTCCTTGCTGCTTGGTCTGTTTCTGCTGCTCAGCTTCCCCCTTTCCCTAAGCATTTTCTGGGCATTCGCTTTTGCGGTGTCCCGGCCGATTGCACGCGAAGTAGCGCCCTTTAAACGGTGCGGCAGCGGCATTCGCGGCGACGGCACGTATCGTAGCGCCCTCATTCGTCCCACGAGATCGATGTCCCCAATTGGTGTTGCTTCCGTAGGACCCCGATCTCGGTCGTCGGAAAAAATCGAGCTTCTCCGCCATGGCGAGAATCTCCTGAAAATCAGTGACGCTGCGGGGTTAGATTTCCTGAGCGATGTCGTGCTTTAGGCCGCCGATGTAGCGGTCAATACGCTCAGATTCGTGCATGTAGCCCACCTGCTTACACAGCGCCAAATTCCCGCTGGTGTAGTATTCGACGGAACCGAGTTGGCGCCAAGTGCGAAGCTTCTGACGCGCCGCAATCGAAGCCGCGATTGGCTCAAATCGAGCGCGCAGACCTGCGCACCACGCGTCCCACGTGCGATATTGGGGCACCTCCACGAAATACGACGGCGCCCAGGGTCTGGTTTGTCCTTCCCGTGTCGGTAGAGTCGCGTAGTCCATCGGCTTCGTGACGATGACGCGCCACCAGTCCATGGCGGGTCCTCGCAGCAGTGACACGGCGTGACGAATCTTCGCCTTATCCTCCGAAACGTAGTTGGCGTCGAAAAACACGTTCAACGTGAACAACCACGCCTGAACGGTAGGACAACCCCGTTGACTCGGGTCAAAACATGGCGGACGTTGCGGCTTCAGCGGCATTGGTGACGGCAGTGCCGAATCGTTGGTCGGTGCCGAAATCGTGACGCGAGGTTGGCTCCTGGCCGCATTCGTCGCTCCGGGGTGAGTCGTGCCGTGGTCGTCGTCTCCGTCGTGGCGGACGACGCCATCACTGGCCGCACTCGCGGGTTGCCCCACACTTCAGTGCTGCGATGCTAATGGTGCGGGTTGTATCGGAGTGCCAGGTGCTTGTGATTGTGCTTGCTGTGCTCGTGCGACGTCATTCTGCAGGGATGTGCGTTCCGCCGTCAGCGCCGCAATTTCTTCCAAGTTCTCGTGCAGTTGGCGCAACAGTTCTTTCAGGCGGACCTGCGTGAGTGTCGCGGCGTCGATGTGTTCGGCCATTACGAAGGGCGTCGGCTCGGCTTAATCTCGGCGCAGTCGTGGCTACACGCGTTTACGAGAGAACACGAGGAGAGCGGCTCCTAGAGGCTAAGGTGCGTTAGTCCCTTCGAGTGAGAAATCAAAAGTTGATTTCATGGGTTGCGGAGATGCGCGGTCCGAAAAGAAAGTGGCTCTGATAACCAAGTGTTGCGGGTGCAATAAATCGAGGTAGCGAGGATTGCACTAAGGTGTTCAACGAGTACAAAGTATGAGCGAAGGCATGAGCGAATACTTATAGGCGAAACATGCAAACGGTAACGCGGTGCGTGCGAGCTAGCTAGTGCTACGATGGCGCGAGGTTCGGGCTAGTCCCGAAGCGTAGGCCGACTCGGCTGCTCCAGCAGTGCGAGGTTTGGTGAAACAGTGCGCGCGAAGTTGGCGAAGACTCGTTAGCAGTAACGGGCGAACAACGGCTGCTGCTGTACGCAGAGTTGACGGTCGCAGTAAAGAATAGAGAGTTCGTCTCTCAGAACCAACATGTTTGCTACAACTGGGAAGGCTTCGTGAGTTCGTCTTTCAGAACCAGACCGACCTGTCGTCAGTATCGAAGAATAATGGAAACGAGTACAAACCTATTCCCGTCCAATCCCAGTGGCTCAATTAGGTTACGACTCGGGGGAAGCCTACTAGACTACCTATTGAACCTCTGACCTGTTCTAAAACTTGGTCCGGCGACTCGCGAGTCGTGCTATAGGAATTTATTGCTTTTCGGTGTCGGTCCTATTTTTTTTCGATCCGTCAGTTACACTGTGACCACATCCTAGAGTAGACTCGCCAGGAGCAGCCTTTCTAGTCAGCGACCAGTCAAATTCGTGAGTCACCCGCTCCCCACGCCGGTACCTTGCGCTGTAGTCTCACATCGGCACTACCATCCCTCGTTTCTTTCGTTTTCGTGTCCTCATGCCCACCTCTGGCCCTCATGACATTTCCAGCCCCTCCTTTTTTCCATTTCCTCATGCATGACCGTGGCGTTGGATTTTCTTGTCCTGACTGACACACTTCAACGCCACTGGCTACCGTCTTCAACTCAAAATACGACTCATTCTAGAGGATTGAAGTCGGGTTTGTACGAGAGAAGAATAGTTAAACAGGGAAAAGACACGCGTTCACACGAGGTTGTGGATTCGCTCCGCCTGACCCCCTCCAAATCCTCTGTTTCCATTCCGCCGCAGTCCTCCATGGCGCCAGTGGCGCCGCGAGCAGCGCCGCATAACCCGCCGCAGTCGGCGCCGCAGCGCGCGCTGCAGCTGGATCAGCAATCGACGATGGATCTAACCCTAACGGTCCTGCAGCGCATGGATCCCGCCGTCGCCGAGATCCTGCTGACGGTCGGCCACGTCACTGTGTACGAGTTTGACGTGGCAGCCTCCTCTTGGGTGCGTGCGTGGCATGGACTGTGTGTGTGTTGCTGTTGCTAGCGCCAACTACAGCCGCTTTTGAGAATATACAAGAGGAAAGGCCTTTTGCTGGCATGGTTTCATGCATGCACTGCTGTATGCTCCCACCCATTCCTTTCTGCTGGCCTTCCGCTCCTGCTGGTTTTGCTCCTCCCGCTGCTGCCTTCCGCTCCTGCTGACGTGACTGACACTGTGCGTCCGGTTATCAATACTCATCCCCCATCCCATCTTCTACCTCGTACGTATCGTGGCATGGCAGACACGAAAGGACGTGGAAGGATCACTGTTTGTCGTGAAGCGGTGAGAAACTTGAAACTCTGGCCGGAGGATTTCTTGACTCCTTTGTCAAAGGGAAGTTTCGCAGCAGCCCGCTGTGCCCCACTGCCCCCCGACCCCCTGTTTTGAGACGTCTCAAAACAACACTTTTATCACGTCACGTGGCTATCATTTCGCAGCAGCCCGCTGCCTCCCCCGACCCTCTCATACCGCCCTTGCAAGATCGACATGTTATTTGCTTTCCAGACCTTTCTTGTGAAATTGCCAATTTTCATCGCAGCATGTAGAGCCGTGTTTCCTCTTGAGTGACTTTTGAGAATTGCACATCGCTCAAAAGTCACTCGAACATCGCAGCATAGCATGTAGAGCCGTGTTTCCTCTTGCCTCAAAACCCCTCGTCCCTCCCTCCTCCCTTTCATCTCAATCGATGTTCCTGTGTTTTTTATTCTGTACTTGCATATGTGGGTCTGGTTGTATTGGTTCATGTGTCTGCACATGGGGTTGCATGCACATGGGGTTGCATGCACATGGGGTTGCATGCACATGGGGTTGCATGCACATGCACGCATGCTCGCTTTGTATGCGCTTCTGGACATGGTTGCATCTCTGGACATGCAACTCTGAACGTACACACATGTGCATGCGCATGAATGGTTGTAACGTGCAGCAAGGAGCAGCCGCGCTTTCAGTTTATAGTCATGAATCGCAGAGCTCCAGGTAAATTTTGTGTATAATATCATAATATGTATTATTCATGTACTATACTGCTGCATGTATGTGTGTACTGTACGCTTGCAGCAAGCAGCAGCTTCAATCTTAGTTCGTTGTCATGTGTTCTTAGTCATGAACCACAGAGCTCCAGGCATTTAACTGTGCATATCATACATGTATACACGTACGCCTTCCCTCCCCAATCTTCCCCCAGACAACCCCTGCGAATGGTAACAGTCCCCATTGCCCCGCATTCCACGTGATAACAGTGTTGTTTTGAGACGTCTCAAAACAACCCCTGCCACTAGTAACAGTCCCCATTGCCCCGCAACCAACCTCATACGAGGTTCCTGTTGAACCCCTTGTGTAATGAGTCGAGTTTTGAGTCGACTCAAAACTTTTCCCTTCCCGCAGACAACCAACCTCATACGAGGTTGCTGTTGACCCCCTTCCTCCAGTCCTGCTTAGCGACTTGGGAGTACGAGGTGCAGCCGCCCTACATCCTGTACCGCAACAGAGGGCAGGAGGTGAACTGAACAGCACTCTCCCTCTCCACTCCCAATCCCCACTGTCTCTACCCCACACCCGCACGCACTCCCTTCACCCAGACAACCTGATAGAGGACCTTCTAGGCGACCTAGAGTACGAGGTGCAGCCGCCCTACATCCTGTACCGCAACAGAGGCCAGGAGGTGAACGGCATTTGGTTCTACTCGCTCAAGGAGTGCCACGATGCTGCCAATCTCTTCTCCAGGTGTGTTCTCCGCAGCAGCTGTTGGACATGTGTGGGATGGGGCATAACTAGCCATGCTACCTTGTGGGGTGGGGGGGAAGGGAAGAAACAGAGGCCAGGAGGTGAACGGCATTGGGTTTGTACCACTCAGTCAGTTTATGATCACGAGGGGGCTAGAACCGGGCAGGTATCCTGGGACTGGGAAGTCCAGGAGGTCAATGGCATCTGGCTGTACTCCTTGAAAAAGTGCCACGACGCTGCCAATCCCTTCTCCAGGTTTGATTGCCTAGTCCCGAACTCTGCCTGTGATAAACTTGTTTTTTGTTTTGTTTTGTTTTGTTTTTTTGTCTTGTTGTTTTTTGTTTTTATTTTTCTATTTTTTTACCGGTTAGTTTTTCACCTAACCCCAATTGACCTGACTTGTCATTACTGTGCTAAATTCGAAATCCCAAACCCGAAACTCTTAACACCCTGGATTCCGAATCTTCCATTTTCAATTCCCCGAGTCTTTTCTTCTTTCCCTCCCCATGGCAGGATTCTCAACACCTTTTCACGCCACGCACATCCAACACCTTTTCAGGCCTCCGCAGCCCACCTGTCCGCTACTCACGCCACGCGCACATCCAACCAAGCCGCTCATACCACCCCACCCACATGGCGGAAATTCACCACTCTGAATTCTGAATCACCCAGCTTACATTTCCCACGTGTCTTTCCCCTTTCCCTCCCCTGCGCAGGATTCTCAACACCTTTTCACGCCACGCACATCCAACCAAGCCTCACGCACCTTTTCTCGCACCTCCCCACGCGGCTGAAATCCACAACTTTGAATCCTCATGGGACAGTGAAAGACATGCATATCTTTTCTTCTATCCCTCCCCATTGCAGGATTCTCAACACCTTTTCACGCCACGCACATCCAACCAAGCCACTCATACCGTCTAATAGGTATGCTCGTTGCTTCCTCTCAGGCTGGCTGGGTGTATATATGTACTCTCTTGTTGCCCACCGCTTGAAATGAGTCGTGTTTTGAGACGTCTCAAAACTCCTTCCTCACAGGCTGGATGGGGGTATATATGTGCTCTCTTGTTGCCCACCCCTTCCACCCAAGAGCCTCACACTGTACAATAAGTTTGTCTTTTCCCTTTTATTGAACAAGAAGCCGTTCCCTCAGCAGCCACGGTGGACGGCCCGGCCCTCTCAAGCCCACCCCACCAGAGGCAGGACTGAGTGGCCAGCCCAGCAGCCACATTCCACAGCATCCCATTTTGTTTGAGGTTGATTTTGAGAATTCTCAAAATCAACCTCAAACAAAACAAGACTGAGTGGCCAGCCCAGCAGTCACATTCCACAGCATTGCACGTCCCTTGCTTCTCCTCTCCCCCACCCCCCCAGCCCCGAGTATTCAGAGCTGGAGGCCGTGCCCTCAGAAGCCATGGTAGACGGCCCTCTTGAGCCCACTACACCACAGGGCGACCAACCCAGCAGCCACATTCCACAGCATAGCGCCTTGCTTGCTGACACTAGCACGCCTCTGGAAAACCACCACCCCTCTGCATCGCTCCCTCCCTCGCTCCCTCCCTTCGCCTCGCTCCCTCCCGCCGCCTCTCTACCTCTTCCTCCTCCCTCTTCACACCCCCCCGCTTTCCACGACGCTCGTTCCTCCTCCGCCCCTGTGCCCTCCTCTCTCCTCTCCACGCTCCTCCCGTCGCTTTCTGCCTCACCACACGAACCCCACCCAACCGCTCTGCCTACTGCTTCCGCGCCACACGAACCGCAGCCAACCCCTCTCCCGCTGCTGCAGAGCCAGCCGCAGGAGAATGGGCTACAGGGGAAGGAGGGGCAGACAGGGGAAGAAGCACAGGGGCAGGGGCAGGGGCAGGCGAATGGGCAAGGGCAAGGGCAAGACGTGGTAAGAGAGCAGATTCAGGCTCTAATGGATCTCCAAGCCATGCTGCAGATCAAACCCACAGGAACGATGCTCTCAGCAGCAGCACCAGCACCAGCACCGGCACCAGCACCGGCAGCGGCAGCAGCAGCAGCAGCAGTGCCGGCAGCAGCAGGAGCAGGGGCAGGAACAACACACGCTCTGCTCAAGCCCTCCTTCTTCTCCACTGCACCTCCACCCATCCCGCAAGCACCTGCCGTTTCATCAGTCCCATCTGCCCCATCACTCCCATCAGCATCAGCAGCAGCAGCAGCAGCAACAGCAGCAGCAGGACCAGCAGCACTGCCAGCACCACCACTGGCAGCATTGCCACCACCGTTCCCCCTCATCTCCCCTGCCGCCCTCTCTTCTTCCTCTCTCCCCATCTTCCCTTCAGCAGCTGCCTCCCCTCGCTCTGCCTTCTCCCCTCCTGCACCCTCTTCTGCTCCCTTCCCTCCCCTCTCCACCTCTCTTCTCTTCCCTCCTCACCCCAACTCCGCTCCTATGCCTCCTCTCCCTTCCTCTGCAACTGCATGCCACTTACTTGAAAGCGAAAGTGCAGAGACTAAGGGTCCCATGAAAAGCCACGGGGAAGGAAGAGCAGCAGCAGCAGCAGCAGCAGCAGCAGCAGCAGCAAGAGACGAGGCGGGCATTAGGGTATCAGCAACGGAAACAGGCAGAAGAGGGGAGGGAGTGGCTACGAAGGAGAGAGGGAGTGAGGGAGAGGAGGGAGGAGAGGGGGAGAGTGAGAGGATGTCAGGGAGTGAGAGTGAGCGCATGTCACGCGCACTAGCAGCCCTCCTCCAACCCTCCCACGGAGCTCCTATGCTGCAGCCCTTTCCCCCACCCGCCCCTCCCCCTTCCCTCGCCTCCCCTGCTCCCCCTCCTGTTCTCTCCCCATCTATTCCCGCTCCTCCTCACTCCATTCCTGCCTCATTCCGTACCATTCCTGCTCCCATCAATCCAGCCGTTGGGGGAACTGGATTGGGCTTGCAAGGGGGGAGAGGAGGGGAGGGGGTGGTGGTGGTGGTGACAAGGGAAGGGCTGAAGGCTGCGCTACTGCGACTGGTGCAGGTGGGAAGTGGTGCTGGCGGGAAGTGGTGCAGGTGGGAACTGGTGCAGGTGTCTTGGTAGAATGACTAGTTTCCACCCACTCCTCTCATTCTTACGACCCTCCCACCTACCGTACTCCTGTTCCCACCCACTTCCCCACTCCTTTCCCCATCCCCCTTTTCTCTTCCCAACCCCTCTTCCCGCCATTCACTCTTAGCCTCTTTCAACCGCTTTCTGGTCGACTCCATTTTTACCATGTAATTCCTTCGTTTCCTATCGTTTCTCCGTACATGCTTTACCCCGCTCCCTCGCGTCTACTTCCTGTTAAAAGACAAATAGTTCTCCACCCCATTCCCTATATTTTCTACCCTCAATCCTAATTGACTGACGTTTTCCATAAGCTCGCAGGCTTAGACGAAACCTCCTTTCCCCCTCTCTCCACCTTCCCTTCCCTCCCTCCCGTCCCTCTCCTCCATCGTGCCTCTCTCCAGAACGACAATTTTGTCGACATGCTATTTCAAGAGCTGGCCCACTCACACCCGACATCGCAATGACATTGTGCTCTGTCAAATATCTTTACATGCTACGGTAGGTCTGGAATGTGTCAGAGTGAGAAACAGGAAATGTGTGTGACTAGCAAGAACAACAGTACAAATATGAAACCCTAAACTGGTGTACTGTACCCCCTATGGTGTGACCCACTACAGCCTAGAACCACACAAACATATAATGTTTGACACACCCCCATAGGCAAAGTGGGGGAGACCTAGGGGTCACAAGACCAGTCAAGGCAAAGCAAGGCAAACAAGCTCAGGGTGGATCTCGAGGATTCCACACAAATTCCGAGCACAAGTAAGCGGTCACAAGACCAGTTCACATGCAGTTTTATAACAGAGCAAGAGGTACAATGATCACAACCTAGCAAGGGCAAACATGCAGGTATATATACAATGATCACAGTACAGGCAAGGTCAAGAAGTAAGCAAGTGAGGAACAGTCGGCACAAGGCCTAGAAGAGTGCAAAAACGCTGATGGTCAACAGGCGGAAGCGCCTTGGTGAACACATCAGCAGTGTTGGCCTCAGTGGCCACGTAACGCAGAAGAAGCTGACCACGCTGCTGTAGCTCTCGAGCTAGAAAGTAACGCAGAGCAATGTGCTTCGTCCTGTGCTCCAGTCTGTGCTCCTCACACAAGGCTATGGTTGCCTTGTTGTCGACGTACAGCACTGGAGGAGAACGAGGCTGCTCTCCAAGGTCAGTCAGCAGGTAGGTGAGCCAGCGAAGCTCCTGGGCAGCCATGGCCGTGGCGTAGATCTCAGCCTCACAGCTGGAGCCGAGAACAGAAGAGGAACGAGTAGAACGCCAAGAGACAGAGCCAGAGCCAAGACTGAAGGTGTAACCCTGAGACGACCGCTGAGTAGCCTGGTCGTCTGCCCAAGAAGCGTCTGAGTGCCCAGTGAGAACAGGCCGGTCTCGCCCTCCAAGCACTAGCCCCATGCCCGACGTACTGCACAAGTAGCGCAACACCCTCTTAGCTGCATCCATGTGCTCCTTCCGGTGACGGCCGGGAGCGACATAGCGTGCTAAGATGCTGAGAGGGTATGCAAGGTCAGGTCGAGTGCAGGTCATCTGGTACATGAGGCAGCCCACAAGCTCTGGATACGGACCACTCGGCTCTACGGACTCATCCGAAGGCAGAGCTGAGAGCGAGTGTCCCGTAGGCAGAGGAGTGGACTGAGGCGAGGAGTACGTGAAGCCGAAGCGCTGAAGGACCTGCTGCACCATGTGTGACTGAGTCAAGGTGATGGTGCGCCGTGCTCTGTCCCGGGTGATCCGCAAGCCAAGATAGCTTGTCAGTTCACCCAGGTCTGTGCACGTGTGTCTCTTCTGCAGCTCGGACTTCACGTGAGCGAGACCAGCTATGTCAGAAGTGGCAAAGACCAAGTCGTCGACGTACACGAGGATGTAGAACGGCGGCAGTGAGGTGTCGGTGCGTAGAAACAGCGACGGGTCAGCAGTAGAAGGAGCGAACCCAAGAGCCGCAAGTGTAGTCCTCAGTGTGTCGTGCCACTCACGTGGCGCCTGGCGGAGACCGTAGACTGGTCGCCTGAGGCTCCACTGGGTACCAGGAGGAAACGACCCAGTGAAGCCAGGTGGGCGGCACAGCCAGATCTCCTCGTGCAGGCTGCCCTGCAAGAAAGCTGTGCTGAAGTCAAGAGAGTGGAGCTCGTAGTCACGCTGAGCGGCGACGTGTAGCAGAACCCGAAGAGTGGTCATCTTCGGGGTCGGGGAGAAGGTCTGGAAGAAGTCAACTCCCTCTCGCTGACTGAAGCCTCGTGCAACGTAACGCGCCTTGAAGACAGGCGCAGAGCCCGGCGGCCGCTTCACCCTGAAAATCCACATGCCACTGACGATGTTCGCCCCAGGTGGGGGAACCTCGTCGATGTAGGTGCCAGCGGACTTCCACGAAGCCATCTCTGTGTCCATGGCTGACTGCCACTGAGAGGAGTAGGGACCGGCCATCGCCTCTGCGTAAGAGCGTGGGGTCGGGATGTCTGGTGCATCCGGGTCTCCCTCAGGGGCAACAAGCATGGACACGAGATGGCGCAAAGCAGCGGCAAGGCAACTAAACTCCTCCTGTCTGTCCTCAAGAACGTCCGTGCCAAGAGCACACTCACCCCCGACGGACGGAGGACAGACAGACTCAGACTCAGCAACAAGACTCGCAGCGTAGTCTAGACGACACGCAGCTGCAAAGTCGACAAGCTCAGTGACTAAGGCAGACGCAGCAGCGGACTCAAAGGAAGGGTCAGTGACAACTGTAGCCAGGAGACGTGTGACAGTAGGACTGGCAGCGCGAAGGGTGTCTGACTCCGGGTCAGCAAGAGCAGGAAGAGAGGACGCAGGAGGCGACGGGAGAGCGACACGCTGTGGAGCAGTGGACTGACGAAGCGCCATCTGGTGAGTGCCGGGGACAGCAGGAGGACGCTGACGCTGGACACGACTACCAGTGGTAGTAGCACGACCAGGCGACGCTCGACGAGACGCAGGTGACACAGGACGTGACGCAGGCTCACGTCTCTCAGCAAGACCTCCAGTCGGACCAGTGTAAGGAGTAGGCACAGGGAGTGGGGAGGCAGGCGGTAACTGTGGCTGTGACTGGACAGACGGCGGACACTCTAAGGCGAGAGGAGGACAAGGAGGAGGAGTCTGACCAAGAACCTGCTGAAGGAGCGGAACGAAGTACGGCCGTGGCCGTGCAGCAACTCCCGAACCAGTAGAGACACCAGCGGCAGGGTCCTCAGCACCAGCAGAAGCTCCACCCTCCGGGTCCCCCACTCCAGCGGCAGCAGCAGCACCTCCAGCAGCACCAGCAGCACCTCCAGTAGCAGCAGCACCTCCAGCAGCAGGGTCCGCAGCACCCACAGCAGCTCCAACGCCCGGGTCCTCAGTACGAGCAGCACCTCTAGCAGCACCGCCAGCAGCAGCAGCACCTCCAGCACCAGGGTCCGCAGCACCCGCAGCAGCGTCAACTCCGGGGACCCCAGCACCAGCAGCTCCACTCCGGAGACTGATGTGCCGAGCGTACCACTCTCGAAGCTGTGGGGAAGAGGGCGGCTCCCGCCGTGGTGGGGAAACACGAGTACCAACTCCAGTAGCACCACGAGCCCGAGACGTACCCTGCCGGAGGCTGCAATACCGTGAGTACCACTCACGTAGCTGCTGCGAAGAGGGAGGTCCTCCAGGCGCCTCACAGTCAACTGCAACACCACCAGGCTCAGCACCCCCAGACTCAGCAACGCCAGGCTCAGTACCCCCAGACCCAGCACCCCCAGGCTCAGCACCCCCAGTCTCAGCACCCCCAGACTCAGCACCCCCAGGCTCCACCCGCTCAGGCTCCGCACGCTCAGGCTCAGCACCTCTAGCAGGACGCGAGTCGACAGCTACCTCGGCAGGCTCAACCGGGTCTACCTGAGAGACACCTGAGGGAGCGGCACCCTGAGGGGGAAGGGGGTCTACCACTGCAGCACCTGGCGCGAGGAAGAGAGGCGGGGGAGGGAGCGGGGCAGTGCGGTAGGGGAAGAGGCGGTAGAAGGGCACGGACTCGTCAAAAGTAACGTCCTGAGAGGGGAAGACGCGGTGCGAGGCGGGGTGGTAAAACTGCCAGCCAGACGCATCCGGGACAAAGCCAAGAAAGACACAGGGAGCAGTGCGGGAGGAGAGCTTGTCCGCAGACGTGTTGCGAACAAAAGCTCGGGATCCCTAGACACGGAAGCGTGACGCATCGCCTACCTCCCCCGTCCACTGCAGTGTGGGCGAGGTCTCCGGAGCGGAGACACGGGGCCAGAGGTTGAGCTGATGCGCAGCGTACCGGACCGCAAACGGCCACAGAAAGTGGGGGGCAGCCGCGTGGACTAAGGAGGTACGAGCGACCTCCATGACCAAGCCAATGCGGCGCTCAGCAACCCCATTCTGCTGTGGAGAGGCCGGAAGCGTGAACGACTGGCGAATGCCGTGCTCGGCACAGTAGGCTGCCAAGAGGTCGGAGGAGAACTCGCCACCTCTGTCAGAGTGCAAGCGCAGGACAGGAAACTCCGAGCGAAAACGCTCTCGCAGCTGAAGACGTGCTCTGCTGATCCAAGGGATCAGGACATCAGGGACTTCACCCTTGGTGCGCAAGGGGAAGACCGTGGTGTAGCGCGAGTAGTCGTCAACGACGATCAAGAAGTACCTCTCCTGGCCCTGACCACGAACGCGGGCTGGGCCCCACACGTCCATGTGGAGCGTCTGCAAAGGAGCTGTCGTCGGGGGGAACGAGGAGGAGTGAGGGGCAGCGCGCTGCCGCCCCTCGACACAGGGAAGACAAGCAGGAGCAAGGGAGGGTGGGAGGGGAGGGAGTACCCGAGGAAGACCAGAGACAAGGTACCGGGAGTGCATGCCCCGAAGGCGCTGCACTGACGGGTGACCAAGTCGGTGGTGCCAGAGGACAGTCTTGTGCGCTAGAGAGCGACACGAGCAGGGGGCAGACAGCTGACCTGACGCAGACGCAGACGCAGACGCCGCTACCTGAGGGGACTCAGTGGTCAGTGTGTACAGGTCCGACCCCGGCTGCCGAGTGAAGGTAGCCAGGTGACGGCCCGTCGGAGCACACGTGCAGTGTGTCACACGCTCGTAGGCAGGGGTGAACTGGTGAACACCCCCATCCTGAAGCGCACAACCCGCCACCAAGTTCGTAGAGAACGAGGGGAGGTGGAGACCTGATAGTGTGCCCGACGGGACAGCAGGACAAGGAAGGACAGTGGAGGAGGTCGCAATGACCGGACCCCCAGAGGGGTCAGCGAGCGAGACAGCGACTGGTCGAGCAAGGGGCTCAAGAGCAGTGCGGTCACGAAAGAAACAGCGCGAAGCGCCTGAGTCTAGAGTGAAGGTGTGTAGTGCCTCAGTGGACTCAGTAGTACCTGGGGTGGCGGACACACAAGCACCTAGAGCAGTAGCCTCACTAGCACCTGGGGCAGCAGACACGCAAGCACCTAGGGCTGCAGCCTCACTCGTGCGGATGCCTGGGTCAGGCGGAACACACAGGTACTGGTCCTCCTCTCCACTAATAGTCAATGCATACATGGCTTTGAGAATAACATCAAAATCAAGAGCATAGATATCGATATCCTTCTTGAGGAGATCAGCCTACTGAGGGAGCTCAGGAGCGTCAGGAAACTGAGCACGCCACGCGTCATCTAGGCGAGAGAAGCAGCGCTGCGCAGTGTGCGCCCTCCCGCACGTCTGTCCCTTGCGGCGACTAGTGCGGATGACGTACGTGCAGCTAAGGCTACCCCCCCCACCCCCGTGCTGTAAGTACCACTCACGAAGCTCCTGGGAGGACTGAGGGTGCTGCGCGCTCTGGCCAGTGCCAGAGCCTCCACGACCACCACCGCCGCCTCCACCACGACCACCACCGCCCCTGCCGCCTCCACGTCCACTGCCGCCACCACCACCGCCCCCACCCCGGCCACCGCCGCCGCCGCTGCCTCCACCACTCCCACCGCTGCCACTAGCCCCTCCAGCCCCGCCACCACCCCCACCGCCGCCACCACCCCCACCACCGCCTCCCCCGCCGTCACCCCCACCGCCCTTGCCTCCCCTGCCCTTGCCGCTGCGACGCCCGCTGGGAGCGGACGCAGAGCCGACCTGCTCAGCACCAAGGAGGTCGACAGCAGCAGCAGAGGCGACAGAGGGGAGCAGGGGGGAGGGGGAACACCCCTCGAAGAAAGGGGTGCGGGGGTCGCCACGAGAGGTACCTACAGCTACAATACTCTTCTCAGTTGCAAGTAGTTCCTTCTCTAGGGCGGTAATGGTGAGCTCAGTGGGGCAGCGAGCTAGGAAGTGGTCCCTGACTGTACGCAGAGTGTCAGGGAGGCGGGTGACTAGGTGGTAGAGAGTGAGCCAGAGCGGGGGAGGGTTGGAGGCAAGAAACTCAGCGGGCATGGCGGCACGGAAGCGGGCATCACTAGTGCGGAGGTGAGTGATGAGGTCAGCGACTGTCTGGAAGGCGGACAGGTCGGGGAACAGGTAGGGAAGCGAGAGGCGGCCTAGTGCAGCTGAGGCCGAGGAGGAGTAGCGCGCAACTACAGCAGTGTACAGGGCCTGCGCAGTCTGATGCTGGCCAAAGTGCTCGCGCTCGTCGACTGGCAGGGAGTTGCGAATAGCAAAGCGGGCGTGGGCATCGCGAGTCTGCCACTGTGAGCGAGCAGTAGCAGCAGCAGTAGTAGTAGGAGGAGGGACTGTGCCTAGTGCGTGATCGTACAGCGAGATATCCTCTCTGGCAGTGAGCTGGAGGAACAGGTGCAGATCATCGAGCCAGGTCTCAAACTTAATCGGGCGGCCCTCAGCATCGAACGAGAGAACTGGAGGGCTAGCCATAGCTGAAGTAGCAGTAGCAGAAGTAGCAGTAGCAGTGGCAGTAGCAGCAGCAGCAGCGGTAGTAGTAGCAGTAGCAGTAGCAGTAGTGGTGCTGCTGCTCAGGTAAGGAGGGGCGCGGCCCGGCTAGGACGGCACGGCTCGGCTAGGGCGGCGCGGCTCGGCTAGGGCGGCGCGGCTCGGCTGGGGCGGCGCGGCTCGGCTGGGGCGGCGCGGCTCGGCTGGGTCGTGCGGTTCGGCTCGGGTCGCGCGGTGCAGCTGGGGTCGCGCTGTGCGGCTCGGCCGTAGAGGGGCGAGCGCGGGAGGGGCCGTTCGGGGGCCGGTCGGGGCTAGCGCGGGGCCATTTGGGGGCCGTAGGAGGCTAGCGCGGGGCCTTAAGGGGCCGTGGGAGGCTAGCGCGGGGCCTGAAGGGGCCGTGGGAGGCTAGCGCGGGGCCTTACTGGGCCGTGGGAGGTTAGCGCGGGGGCCGCACGGGGCCGTTAGAGGCTAGCCCGGGGCCAATCGGGGCCGTAGGAGGCTAGCGCGGGGCCGTAGGTGGGCCGTGGGAGGCTAGCGCGGGGCTACACGGGGCCGTTCGGGGCTAGCGCGGGGCCATAGGGGGCCGTGAGAGGCTAGCGCGGGGCCGACGCGGGGCCTTAAGGGGCTAGCGCGGGGTCTTAAGACGGGGCCGTGAGAGGCCATAAGGGGCGACGCGAGGGGCCGTGAGGGGCCTGAAGGGGCGACGCTAGGAACGAGGCGCACGAGGGCGCGAGGAAAAGGCGGCGCACGAGGGCGCGGCTAGCGGAAACGGTGGGCCCTAACGTTCCGGTCCTAGGTGGAACCTAGGCTCGTAATACCATGTTAGAATGAGAAACAGGAAATGTGTGTGACTAGCAAGAACAACAGTACAAATATGAAACCCTAAACTAGTGTACCCCCTATGGTGTGACCCACTACAGCCTAGAACCACACAAACATATAATGTTTGACAGAATGTTGTGTCTAGGTGTAGTGAACCACACTGAAGCATGTGTTGCGATTCTTATTGCCTTAGTATGAGTTAATGCAAGCGCACATGAATGATAGTTAGACTGGACTATGCTTGGCAAGAAGAGTGCAAGGTCATATCATGCTGACTTAGGAAGGTTGTGTTGGGCTGAGAAGCCCTAGGATCTTTGTAGAGTTTAAGGACTGAGTAGGATTGTAATAGCGGAAGCGTTGTAATACAGAGTGGTTGAACCACCTTGCACTAGTATGTGAGAGCAAAGTAAGTTAGATTAAACAAGCAAATACAAGGTTTATATAAGAGTACAAGGAATACGAATAGATAGATTTAAACCGTTTTACTGTTGCGATTCGATACAGTGCGACTCGGGCAACTGCTCAATGTCGAGTCAGTTGTGTGTCCTTGCTGTCGCGCTGTATTGGTCAAGTCAAAGGTCGCTGACATTTGACCTTCGCGTAACCTCCAGGCGGTTACCCCAACCTCCGAGGGTTGACTCGCGATGCTTCGATTTGGACTGCTTCGCTAGTGTCCTGAGTTTCGGACACGACAGAGGCGCCTTAAGACTTATTGTTCCCAACACTCCCCTTCGCTTCTGGAGTGTCGCTGATGGTGACGTGGCCTTGTCCAGTCAGCAGCATGCAGTACTCGAACTTCTGTTTTCCGAGCTTCTTGGTCAAATAGTCGGCTGCCATCTCGAACGTGGGACAGTGAGATAACTCGAGTCTTCCTTTCTCGATCTCGTCTTTCACGAAGAAGTATCGCAGAGCGATATGCTTCGTTCTGTTCGCGAATCCGTTTTTGTTGGCGATGCGAATTGCAGATTGGTTGTCGCAGTGCAGGGTGAAGCTGGGTAACTCAGCTAACTTTGCTTCTTCCAGCAGTTCGCGAAGGTAGAGTCCTTCCTTGGTGGCTGAGCAGAGGGCGATATATTCTGCTTCAGCTGAAGAGAGAGCGATTAGTTCCTGCTTACTCGACTGCCAGGAGATAGGTCCGATAGGCTCGAGACGATAGACGTAGCCGGTACGAGAACGCCTATTATCAGAATCGCCGGCATGGTCAGCATCGACGTAGCCGATTAGTTTCGTCGTCGTAGCTTCGCCCTTGTAGTAAGTTAGGCCGATCGTCGGTGTGCTCACGAAGTAGTGCAGTGCGCGATCGAGCTCCGCCATGTGCTCAGCTTCGGGTTTCTTGAGATAGGTGGCGAGTTGACTCGCGGAGTAGGATAGATCCGGGCGACAGGTTACGGCTGCGAAGAGCAGACAGCCCAATTTTCGCTGGTAGTCGCGTATTCCGGCGGTTTTTAGTAGGGTGGAGTTTCCTTGGCCGTTTCCTGCCGTGTAGCGGTATGGCGTGGCGATAGCGGTAGGGGTGAGCGAGAAGCGCTTGGCGATCGTGTCGGCGTATTTCTCGGCGCTTAGATAGATTGCGTTTTCTTCTTCGCGGATGTTGAGTCCAAGGTACTGCGTGACGGTAGAAGAAACCGTGAGCGTGAGATCTTTCTGCAGTTCCCCTTTGAACCAGGTGGTGACGTCGTCGGTGGAGCCGATGTAGAGGAGATCGTCGACGTAGACGATGATTAGGATGTAGTTGGCGCCTTTAGTGAGTCGGTACATGCCCTGGTCATGGGGCAGTTGGCGGAATCCGATGCGGATGAGGCGGGTGTGCAGGTGTTGTTGCCACAGCCGTGGGGCCTGCTTGATTCCGTAGAGGGACTTTAGCAGTTGGCAGACTTGATTGGGTTCCCCGTGGGTACCGTGAGGGAGCTCGACGAAGATTTCTGCGTCGACGGGTGCGTAGAGGAATGCGTTGGCGACATCGATCTGTCGCAGCTTCTTCTTCTTCATGGCGGCGACGGCGAGAAGAATGCGGAGAGAGGTATGTCGACTAACTGGGGCGAAGGTCTCGGTGAAGTCTCGTCCTTGTTCCTGGTCGAATCCACGCACGACCCAGCGTGCTTTGAACTTCTCGATTGTGCCGTCAGCTTTCGTCTTGATGCGGAAGACCCATTTCCCGGTGAGAATGGTCTTGTTCCGTGCCACGCTTGCGGGAACGACCTTCCAGGTGTTGCGTTCCTCCAATGCCTTTAATTCCCTGTCCATGGCTTCACGCCATTTTTCCCTGTGTTCCCCCCCCAGAGCCTGCTGAACTATCGCAGGCTCTTTAGGAAGAGTGTTGCCGGCGGTCCCGTGGACTGCGGTGACGAGGCCAAGGATTTGTAGCCCAGTCTGTGAGTATCGAGGGAGTTCTGGATCCTCGGGATAAGCTGCTTCGTCTCCCGCTTCTGGGTCGGGGATGAAATTTGGCCCTATCCTTTCTGCTTCGTTGGTGTTGACTGTTGCAGGTGTTACGTAACCGTTGTCGGCGAAGTGGTAGAAGACTTCGGCGTTGTTACTGTCGCGAGGATTATCTTCATCCATGGGCACATCGACGGAGCAGTACGGGAGAGGTCCGGCTTCCTCCGATGCGTTGTCGACGTTGTGTTCATCCCAGTCTGCTTCGTTCGCTGCTGAGGCGAAGGCTCGGTCACCACGAAAGCCACCTGTGGGGTCCCGATTCTCGTGCAAGTTGGCGAGGTACGTCTGAAGGGTGAGTCGTTCGTAGAAGATCACATCACGTGCTGCTACTGTTTCTTTTGTGTGGACGTCGAAGATTCTCTACGCGTTGTAATTTTTCTCGATGCCGAGGTGTAGTCCCCACTGTGCCCGTTGCGAAAATCTTCCCGCTCGTGCTTCTGGGGGTCGGTACTGTACCATGCACCCAAATACTTGTAACATTTTTGTGCTGCCCTGCTTTCCTGTCCACAGCAGATGCGGTGATGCGTTGTTCGGGAGTGACGACGACGAAAGCAAGTTGTGCAGCATGACAGCATGGTCCATTGCTACTGGCCACTGGTGGTTGGGTAGCCGCATGCCACGTAGTAGTTTGCGCATGCTGTTCTGCAGGGTCCTGTTCATTCTTTCTGCAACACCCTGCTGCTGATGTGCGTAGGGAAGGGAGAGGAGTTGCTTGATCCCCCTTTCCGCCAGGTACTGCTTGAAGCGCTGAGAGGTGTATTCGCCACCTCCGTCTGACTGGAAGCTTTTCAGCTGCGTTCCTGATTCCCTTTCTGCTATCGGTAGCCAAGCGGCGAATGCTGCGAGTGCCATGTCGCGGCTGGGTAGGTTGCGATGCCAGACGTATCGAGTGGCGGCGTCGATGAAGGTAATCGTGTAATTATAGGTTACTTGGCCTGGTTCTCGATTGTAGAGGATGTCGCTGTAGACTTTTTCGAGTGGTGCGTATGCAGGTGCGCTCGGGTTGTGGTGAGAAGAAAAAGGTCGATGTGGTAAGTCGGCCTCGGGGCAGATGAGGCAAGTCCCCCGTGCACGTTGAAGTTCTCTGCCGTCGAGTAGTAGTAGTGAGTCTTTGTCTAGTACTCCTGCTCGTATCGTATTATTTAACACCGTGTTACTTGGATGTCCTGTGCGTGCGTGCCAGATGTCTTCGAAGGCGCGGTGTCCGGGTGAACGTTGATATGCGTCGGAGTTGGAGTAGAAGCTGGCGACGAAGTTGGCGCTGCGGTGGACTTCTCGTTGAGTCGGGTTCAGCTGTTGTGCGGGTGTTGGTGGTGCTTCGTCGACGATGACTGGTGTTGTTGTTCCTGCTGCTGCCGATGTTGTCTCTGCTGCTGCCGATGTTGTCTCTGCTGCTGCCGATGTTGTCTCTGCTGCTGCTAATGCTCGTGTTCGCTCTGCTTCAGGGATGGTGTGTGAGTACCAGAAGCCTCCTGGACTGAAATCAGGATCGAGGTCCGGAGGGTGTTGTCAGAACATTATATAGCCTATGCTGTTATGTAGGCTATAGTGGGGTATCCCATAGGGGGTACAACCCAATTAGGGTTTGCTATTTGTACTCACTTCACTCATAGTTCATTCATCCTCGTTCAAAACTTTCTCATGGTATCAAGCAGGTTCCCCTGTGGGAACTGCACCTAGGGCCCACCACTAGTTCGTACTGCCCGGAGCGCGCCCATCCCGAG